TCTCTCTCTCTCTCTCTCTCTCTCTCTCTCTGTTACAGTGTTGGCCAGTGGTGTCTCACTGGAGAAAAGAGAGGGGGTTGCGCCCCGGCAAGGTCAGAGTTCCAGCTGCCCTGCTTCGGTTGCCTCCGCCCTTGCGACCCTCTCGCCGAGCCGAGGAATCCCTCGTGCAGAGAGGGTGACGACGGGCGGCGGTGTGCCGGCGGTGGTGGTGTTGGGTGGTGTGCTGGTTCTAAGCTGTATATGCCATTGGCCGTCGTATGTTTGTCCGGATAACCAGGGACGGTTGTCGTTCCCAACTGCGTGCAGCTGCTTCCCATTGTGGTACAAGTCGGTCAGTAACCGATGACACACAGCGTAAGATCGCCACGTCGACGTCGAATATTCTCCCTATATTGGAACACGCCGCTCCCTTCCTCCCGTTTACAACTGCCTTCTCTCTTGCCACGTATTCTCTGTTCTATACATATACATACACATATACATATATACATATATATGTGTGTATGTATATATGTATATAGAGAGAGATACATAAATCTGCAAAATTCGAGGACAATCATCAGTCCAGTTCGTTTCATCTGAGTGCAGAGGTCACTTTGGTGGATCCTTTTTCGAGTCTCAAGCGACCATGCGGTTCAAAACTCGAGTTTTCGCCAGCTGTCTAAATATACGAGAGTCTAAATATCATCGTTCGATTCGCGACGAAGTGGGCAGAGTTGGAACAGGCAACTTTCGCGAGAAAGTTTTCCCGCAGGAAATTCGGCGTGTCAGTCAGACTTCTGCGATTTCTCCTCCGGTATGATTTTCCTTTCGCGATTCTTTCTATTTTCGTCGCGATTTCCAATCGTAGCGTCGCGTAAACACGTTCCATAAGGAAAGCCGCGGGAAAGCGTTATAATTATAAACGGCCGAGCGTTTTCCAGCATTGCTTCTCGATTGAATCGCCTCGACGCGGGACGGCAGAATAGAAACTCAAAGCATCTCGCGCGATCGAATCGACGAGGCAGAGAGCCAAAGATGTAGCACTCGCCTCTTCGGCTGCGTTGTCTGCCTCGTCTGTTCTCTCGCAGCGTATTTTCTATACGTTGCGGGGGAGAAAGTTTCGCGGTAATAAAGGACGAAACAAAAGGGCGCGGGAGTTTCTCAATGACTTCATCTACCTGCGCGGCGATCTCGCGCTTTGTTCGCTTAATTAGCTAATGCAGCCGACGAAAGTCGCGATAGCCCACTTGGAGAGTGCTCCCTGAAGCTGCCCTGAAAACCTGAACCGGTCACTCGCTCCGGGTCGGCCACTTTCCGCGCGCGATTCTTTTCCAAAGTATTTACCCCCTCCCTCATATGGTCGATCGATCTTCGCCTTCCGTCACGCGTACGCCATTTCGGTGCTGTGCAGGCTTGAAAAAGAGATTTTACTACTTTTGCTCCGAATCTTCTATGCGATTAAGCGCCCCCCGTGCCGGTGCTTCGATCAATCTTTCATCCCTTTGGAACTCCCGGCACGAGTTTCCACTCGTCGGTACTTTTATCCATTCTCACTCGAGACCTAAAGTTCGTTAGCTGAACTGTATTTGGACATGGTCTTGGCCGGACTCGTGACGAGACCCGATTACACGTAGACGAGCGGACGAGCTTCATTCACGATTTACTGTGCTACTGCTGGCGTGCTGTGTTTTCGACGTGACATTAATCAAAGAGTGCAACTTCGTTCTCGTTTCACTTTTTAAAATAGAAGGGAGAACAGCGGAAAGTATCAATTGGCGACGACTCGTTAGGTTCGATCGAAGATGATATGTCGCGCGACAACTAAGCCACATGCTACGAAGGGGCGACTTCTTTCCCACGAACGACTTTTTCTTTCGCCGTTTTCTCGGATTATATTTATTTCACGATCATGGAGCTTGCGAATCGCGGATCGATCAGTCACAACTGATTTTCTATCACCTGATAGGAAAAATACAAAAGTGCGTGCCATACATACGCCATACGTCTGTCTGCACCAGCGTTCATCACTTTATCATGCGTATCTGAAAAACCACCTGTGACGA